TGCTTTGGCCTTATGCCACAAAACTCTTTTCAGCTTGGTCTTCTGAGCCGGTCCTCATGAAGCTAGCTTATCATTCTGCTCTGTCCATTACAGTTATAAAACAATATTTCATAAGCCAATGGCTCAATTTACGCAGTGCTGTGAATAGTACTTGGTTGTGCTGTAAATTCGACCTATATTCTCTTAATATGTTAAAAAATACAGGCAACACGTAGGACTGTCGTATCATCAAGGGCTTACCTTTAAATAGGAAACATGAGGAGAATAGTCAAGCCTCCTATATACATGCAATGATTGATCTTGGTTGTTTTTATTGTATTAGATCTTTACTATTCCTTCGTCGCTCCAACAATGGCCAGCCAGTTATCAGCCTACACCAATACGTTGTTTACCTATTCCGGCACGTACGCGCTAGCATCGCAGCTGCAGACTTCCATCTGCTATCCACCTTGGCCAGTGGGAGCATTCATAGCGCTTTCTTCGTCGTCACCTTTGATACTAAGCACCAGCGCGAATAATACCGACGTTAACATTCATAATTCTGAAGACAAATCCAACTGGGCTCTGGCTTACTCTCCCGGATTCTGGTGTTTCTCGGACCTTCCGTGGACGGTAGGTTTTTCACAGCTGATTTTTCGTTAGACTGGCATCGAAGCTAAACGCTTGTTTCAGCCGGATCAACTGAAAATGAGCGGAGGAGCCGTGTGCTTCACTAAGACTGATTTCTCCTCATTGGTGAGCGGTTTCGAGTCGATTGCGGCGGCGGCGCCTCGCTCCTGTGCAAATTAAATTACGCAGAACGTCGACGGGTGCGTTTTTTCATGACAGATTCCATACATCATTTGTCTAAGACGAAACATCCGTTATTCTGCTTCTGCTGTCTTCGTTGTCAATGTCTTTGCTAATAAAATTTAAAGGACGAAAATGCTACGGTCTGATTCCAAACGCTGACTGGTCGATATCGACTTGTTACTTATTTTATATCTCATAAACGGTACTCTCCATGGCTGTTGACTGTCCTCATATGTTCTACTTTCATTACCTCAACGAAATAGGAGGGTGAAAATGAGTTTTATATACCTTTTACAGTAGGGCCTTCATGCTCTGATAAATTCAACTTCGTTGTGGAAGCTTTTGGAAGAGGCAACACTCACCAATCTGACTGGATAACGAGATGAGTTATGGCCAAATGCCCTTCGATGAAATCACATTTAAAATCACGGCCCTCATTTCCCAGAGGCTAAATTTCCTCCGGGGAAGACATAACCCGCAGAGGCGTGAAGGCAGATGGCACGAATAATAGTCCGGCTATCAATAGGAGCTGTTGCGGTTTATATGTTGACAACATATAATTGCGGAATGCTTCTAGGCGAGGCAAGGACTCAAGAGTTTTAAGAACCTAAGGAAGTCAAGTGCGACAGTGTAAGACTCAGAAAGCTAGACGAAGGAAGGGGTACTGGTAGATCTTAACAATAGACATGTACCGTTTTACAGAACACCAGCAGATCGAAATATAACGGTAACATGGGTTTATTATCCACCAAAGAATGAGGAACAACGTAGTATAAGCGTACAGTATTTCAGGGTGGTGTAGAAACTTGGTCTTGAGAATCTTCATCTTCCATCGCCGCTTCTCCTTTCGGGTCGCGGAGGCAGACACGTCAGACAGTGCTTCCAACG